AAAATAAGAACAAAGCAAAACTGACCACATCCATCTTGGCGCCAAGGTTCCTGCGGCGTTTTTCCGTGTTGTTTCTGTTGCCCCCATTTGTCTTGTTTGGTCTCGTCCAATATGTCAGCTCCAGGCCTCCAAGCGCAGCCCAACAGATTCAAAAGTATGCAGTTTTTTACTTTAGCTCCAAACTCTACAAGCTATAAGCCTTCAAACCTTTAAAATATTCCTATCTCTGTGGTTCCAAGTTTTGGAGCTCTGCCCTGGATCTGCTTTGCCTGGTATTCTGTGGTACTGCTGTCGGTGAACTTCACTGCACCTCCACCCTAGCCACCATCAAGCCCCGCCTCACCAGTGCAATCCTAAAGAGAAAACACATTCAAAGCAATGGCTACCAAGAGGTAGAAGTGGTCCAAAAATGCAAATGTTAACCAGTCAAGAGTGGAAGTCATATGGCAACAGTTCTGAGGATTCTTAAGACATTTTGCCTTTTTACTTTCTGAAGGACCAAAGAATGAAAACGTTTGCTTATTATGAGTATTATGAGAAAGTTAGCCAAAGCTTCAGCAGGAAAGCCTCTCCAGAGTCCTCCACCAATGACAATGGTGCTGCTCATTCCTCTCATCAAACACAGGCAATTTTGTGAGAGTTGTGTTAAGAAATCATTAGGCATCCACTTTTCAGTCCTGATTTGGCTCCTTCTGACATCTTTTTGTTTCCTAATCTTAAAAAATATCTAAAGGGCACCCAATTTTGCTTCAGTTTATCATATAAAAACAACTGCATTGGCAGTTCCTTATTCCTTGTCCGGCTTTCACATGCACATGAGGGTACTGAAATTGCCATGGCTTGTATCAAGCACACCTTATTCCTTAAAGTGACATCTTTGCTTTATACTATAAAGAGGTCTCTTATAGAAGATTTGCCTAATGCAGTATGTCGTTTGATTTCTTGACTGCTGCTTCCATGTGTGTTAATTGTAGATCCAAGCAAAGTGAAATCTTTGATAACTTCAGTCTTTTCTCCTTTTCACTGAGTATATCCCACCTTAATTTAGAGACCATCTCAAGAACAGATTTGCTTAGTGTAATACTTTGTTTGATTTCATGACTGATTTCATAACTGTTAATTGTGGACCTGATCCAAATGAAGTCTTTGAAAACTTTAGTCTTTTCTCCAATACAAGTAAAACTTTGCTGAAGAGAATTCAAAAATAATTGCAGCAGTGTATCACTTAAGAACTACAAGACATTCAAGCTGGATTCAGAAAAGGATCTGGAACAGGTGCTACCTACCATTACCAACGTTAAATGGCTCTTGGCTGACTGAAAGCAAGAGAATATTAGATGTTTTCCTATGTTGCATTGGCTACACAAAAACATTTGACTGTGTGGATTATAACAGATTATTATGATTATAGATAATATTTTGTGTTCTTGCAGAACCTGTACATAGACTTAGGAGCAATTGTTCAGATAGAGCAAGGGTTCTGTTTGTGGTTTAAAATCAGGAAAGGTGTACATCAGAGTTGCATCCTTATTGAATAAACTGTATACTTAATCTGTTATTCGAGCTGTGTGCTGAGCAATAATTTGAGGTCTGAAGAAGAATGCAGCATGAGGATTGATGAGAGACCCATTAAAACAACCTGTGATATGGAGATGACACAACCTCTATTATGCTGACATAGCCTTGCTTGAAGAAGGCAAAGAGAACTTGAAACACTTAACTGATGAAACCTTCAGTATGGATTACATCTCAGCATAAAAAAACATCCTCACAACCAGACCAATAAACATCATGATAAAAAGAAAAAAAATGAGAATTTAAGGGTTTCATTTACTTGGATCCACAATCAACGCTCATAGAAACAGCAGTCAAGAAATCAGATGACTTATTATTGCATTGCGCTAATCTGAGTCCTGGTTTATGGCACTACAGGATAATGCGCTGGGCTACAAAGTCAGCTTGAACTGCAAGGTTGGCAGTTCAAACCCACCACTCCTCAGAAATCCTATACAGGGTCACTATGGGTCAGAACTGACTTGACGGCACTTAACAGCAACATCAGTCTTTTTCTAAAAATAATCATCCATTGAACTCTTGGAAACATGGTTGACTCTAACACACATGGATTCTCCACTATGTTGTTATTGTTGTTATGTGCCGTGGAGTCAGTTCCGACTCATAGCGACCCTGTACAGGGTTTCCGAGGCTGGAAATCTTTACGGGAGCAGAAAGCCTCATCTTTCTCCCGCAGGGCAGCTGGTAGTTTCGAACTGCTGACCTTGCGGCTTGCAGCCCAATTCGTAACCACTACGTTAAGTGCTGTCAAATCAGATTCCACTCATAGCATCCCTATATGGGGTTTCCAAAGAGCAGGTTGGTAGGTTTGAACTTCCAACCTTGTGGTTAGCAGTCCAGTGCCACATCAACTGATTTGGGTAATAATTATCAGTGTGTTTTGTGGAAAATACAAAGTTAAACAAAATTAAACCAGCCTTTTTGCTGACAGCGCATCTTTGAGGGGTACCACTGTAGAGTTTGGCCCTCTTTATCTGTGGGCTCCACATCCATGGCTTCAGTCAACTGGAAATGGAAACTATTAGGAAGAAAAGCAAGCAATCCATCAAAAGTTAAGAGGGAGTGAAAAGGGCTGTATACATTGTATTAAAATAGAAGTTTTTAAAGTATATGGGAGGATATACAGAGATTATTATATTCAAGTAGTATGCCATTTTATGGAGTCCTGGTTGCACTGTAGAAATAATCAATGGACTGCTAACCACAAAGTCGGCAGTTCAAATCCATCAGCTGCTTCTCGGTAACCTTATGCAGGATTGCTATGAGTCTGGACTGACTCAACAGCACTTAACAAAAAAAAAGCCAGTTTATAAGAGGGACTTAAATATCTATGGATTTCGGTATTGGGGAGAGTGGTGTTCTGGAAGCATCCCCCACAGATACTGATAGATAAACGTGGATTTCCACTGTTACCTCATATAACATGGGAGATGGTTAGAATGAGTAGAAAAACAATTTAAGTGATACTTACTACCTTTTTTATCACAGGACTGGAAGCAATCCCAAAATTAGACGCAACAAAATCTGGGGAGGACAGAATGGTGGAATTCTAGTTTATAACTCTGGTATGTCCAACTTCTCATTTAATGTTTATAGACATGAGAAATGTACCTTTTAAATACCATAACCTAAATTTTTACATTTATAGGTTTAGGCTGTATTGAAGACAATGAAATATTTGACAATGCAATGGCTGGAGTCTGGATTAAAACAGATAGTAATCCTACACTAAGAAGAAATAAAATTCATGATGGAAGAGATGGTGGCATCTGTATATTTAATGGGGGCCGAGGTATTGTTAATTTTGCATTGGTGAAAAATTTTTCCATTTTTCTTCCATAAAAGAGTGAATCTGTGTTTCTCCCTCATTAAGTCTTAAAATGGTTTAGGAGATTAGTGCCTAGAGTTAAAGTTTCTTTTCTGTTTCTAACCATCTTGAAATTGCCAGTTGTCAGAAAACTTTTTTCAGGTAGAACTTGTTTGCATCCTATCCTCTCTCTGGACTTTTTATTATTCAGAATCATGTGATGTGATTGTAATACACTTCACAGTAAAATTGTAGAAATAGTTCAGAGAAATTAATTGGTCTATAAATTTATAAAAATGACTGTAGTAAACAGATACTGATTTTGTAACCATTCACAGCTGTTTGCTGGAGAATGGAATTAAAGAAGCCAAGGCATGCCTGTTTTAGTATCCAGAGATGCAGACATGAAGCAGTCAGACAATACTTCTTCACAAAAGGAAACTAGGGAAGAGCATTAAATACAAATTATCGTTTCTAAAATGACAATACAACTTTATAATGTGAATTATAGCTTCAGCCAACAAAATTTAATAAGCATAACAGACCTTCAAGTATCTCTGGTGGGAATATATCATGAAGACACACAACGCAGAATGTCACTCAAATTGTGTCTTTAAAAAATGAGTATTTTTAGTCAAGGGGACTGGGGTGGGGGAGTTATTTCAGATATTTGTTAAGTTCTGTCCAATTGGTTCCAACTCATAGTGACCCTGTATAGGATTTCTAAGGAACAGTTGGTGAGTTTGAACCACCGACCTTGTGATTCAGATCTACCTTGTGGTCCAGTGCTTTATCCCAGATCCATACCAGGACTCCATTTTGGGTATGGAAAGTAGCAGTAGTTCACTCTGTCAATTGTTATGTAAGTACTGATTGAACATACTTCTGAATCAAATGCTATGATGTAGATAATAAAGATACAGTGGTTAATAAGCACAATACTATATTGTGAAAGTTTATAAAGGTGTTTAGTAGGCAAGAAGTACTTAAAGTTGAGACAGGACAGGGAGTATAGATTCTTATCAATAGTACTTGAGGTTGTAGTGAATAGGGACTTGGAATAATCTAGGCTAAAAGTGATGAAAGCCTAAACTAACGTGATAGCATGAAAAAAGAGATAGCATGAGAGTAGAAAAAGGAGGGAGCAAATATTAATGATGTTGGTGGTGATGATTGTGTGCCTTAGAGTCGGTTCCAACTCAGAGCAACCCTGTACATGGTTTTCGAGGCTGTAAATCTTTACAAGAGCAGAAAGCCTCATCTTTCTCCTGCAGAACAGCTGGTAGTTAAAAGGGGTAAAATCATTAAGACTGCATCAGCCATTAATTAGCAGCTGAAAAAGAGGTGAAAGATGATACTCTCCTGGTACCAGTGACTATGAGATAAGGTAATACAGAAATGTTTTTGGAAAATGGTATATGATCAGTCATAAACATGCTAAATGCAAGGTGTTCCTTGAGATATCCAAGTTGGCATGACCAGAATGTAATGAATTAATCTAAGCAAAAGAAACAGGTTTAATAATTAACAGTACCCTATGAAGAAGCGTCCCAAAAAACTCATGAAAAAATGGAATTAAAAGATAGTGTATATATTTTTTTTTTCACGAACTTTGTAAAGCACTCTCATATGTAGTAAGTAAAAACTATTGGGATTATAAAATAACCTGCTGACTATCCAGGGAAGAGAGTCAGAACAGACACTTGAATATTAATATCTAAGGAGTGAACAGAAGAGGGAGGAAGAAAGAGCCTTGACATGGGAGAGAGAGGAAATTACAAGGTCAAGATTGAGAAACAGGGACTGTTCATATCTTATTTTAATTCACTATATGGTGTACTGGTGATGTAGTACTCCACCTTAAGGTTGGTTTGAACCACAGGGTTAGCGGTTCAAACACACCAGCCACTACTTGGAAACACTATACATACAGGTCACTGATTCAGAACCAACTCAGTGGCACTTTAACAATATGGAATCCTGGTGTGGTGTACTCTAGGATAAGCAATGAACTGCTAATCACAAGGTTGATGATTCAAATCCACCAACCGCTCCTTGAAACCATATATAGGATCACTGAGTCAGAACTGACAACAGCACTTAAGACATAAGTTTAATAGGAATATTAATAGCTGCCTGTAGACTTTAATGTATAACCAACCTATTTAAAGCTCGGTAACTTGGGGTTGCATCTCAATGTCAGAATAACAAAAATCCTCACCACTGGACCAATAAAGAACATTCTTATCAACGGAGAAAAGATTGAAGGTTGTCAAAGACTCCATTCTTCTTGGATCAACTATCAACATTCGTGGAAGCAGCAGTCAAGAGATCAGCAAATCTGCTGCACAGGAACTTTTTAAAGTGTTGAAGAGCAGAGATGTCAGCTTGAGGACTAAGTTTGAAGAGTAAGGTGTGCCTGACCCAAGCCATGGTATTTTCAATAACCTCATATGGATGCGAAAGCTGGACAGTGAATAAGGAAGATCGTAGAATTGATGCCTTTGAGTTGTGGTGTTGGAGAATACTAAAAGTGCCATGGACTGCCAAAAGAACTAATACATCGGTTTTGGAAGAAGTGCAGCCAGAGTGCTCCTTGGAGGCCAGGATGGCTAAGCTTTGTCTCTCATACTTTGGACATATTGTCCAGAGGGAACAGTCGCTGAAGAAGGATGTCATGCTGGGTAAGATGGAGGGTCAGAGAAAAAGAGGAAGGCCCCGACGAGATGGACTCGTGTGGCAGCGGTAGTGAGGTTGGCCCAGGATCAGACATTGTTTCGTTCTGCTGTGCATGGGGTCGCTATGAGTCAGTTCCGATTCAATGGCACCTGACAACAACTTATGTGGTAGGTGCTGTGCCCATTTTTACAGAAAACAGATAAAGCACCTTACCTATGCAGAGGATCAGTATTTGAAAGCCTAAGTCTTGATTTCCTAAACTCACTCTTAATTAGGTGATAAAAATTAATTAGGAGTAAAGAGTACAAGACATCCTAGGAAAAGGAAATAGATAAACCAAAAGCATTAGGGATAAAAATGTCTAGCATATATGAAATAGTGAAAGAAATTTGTTTGAGGGAATATTTTAAGACTTTAAATGGCAGGTTAGTTTTTTCTGAAAGTAGTTAAATTTAATTAGGGAAGCAATGTGATCAAGTAAGAGTTCTAGGTTATTGACTGGAAACCAATTGCATGAACAGAAAATTAAGAAATTAGAACCCAAAGAGACAGGAAAATAGATTAAGAAATAAGTATAGTAGTAACCAAGACAAAGATTCTAATGATATTTGAAAGAAATTCAATTTAATTCAGTGGTGGTGGTGTTAGTGCCCCATTCCACCCGAACTCTGTATAGGGTGTCCGTATAGTTCAAACCAACCTTTTGGTCTAGTGCTTATCCTACAGTGCCACACCAGGATTAGGCAGTCTCCATGCATCATACAACTTTGTTTACTGGTAGAATGGTTACATGCCATTTCCACCAATTTGGGGTTAAATTCTACCTTATAGTTTCTGAAGTACTAACAAACTTTCCTTTTGATTGAGAAACTGGCCCTGTGAATCTTACAGTTCAGCTAACAAAAAGAAAGTAGAAATACCAGCAACACAGAATAGTAAAGTGCTTTTATCTAAGGAAATATTTTATTATAGGTCTCCTTGAAGAAAATGATATTTTCAGGAATGCTCAAGCAGGTGTACTCATCAGCACTAATAGTCATCCAGTCTTAAGGAAAAACAGAATATTTGATGGATTTGCTGCAGGTTTGTACTTTCTTTTGTTACCTGTAGCTTATTTTCTATATCTGAAATGTTTGATGCATTAGTTCTCTTGCTAACATGCTGCCAAAATGAATATTAATAACTGTTTGAAAGAGGGCACCTAATCCAAGTAACCATGTTCTTCCACCCTAAACCAAACTTAACAAGAACTATTATTGATCAGTAATTATGATCAGTAGTGCATTTAACTAGCTCAGATGCTAACCAGGATGGCATGGAGATGAGTCCACAGAGGCTCCTCAAAAAAGCCTTCTGAAAAACCAGCCATTAAAAATTCTATGGAATATATGGGGTCATGAGTTGGCATAAACTTTTCTCTACGTGATACCTACACATACTAATGGACTCTCCCCCTTCTGCTTAGTTTGCAAAGGAATTAAATGTCATTATTAGGAAGTTTAAAACATTTTTCCTTCTAAACTTATAAAATGTTTAATAAAATGTTGAATCACCTGTCATAACTTCTATAGCAAGCATAATGGACTATTAATGAAGTTAATTTTATTTCAGTGATTCAAATATGCGTTGCTTTAGATGTTAAAGGTTAATATATATAGTTAAAGGAACCAATTCATTAGCTGTATTTCAGGTTTCTTATAATTAACAAAATGATTCATCTACTATTTGCCAATTTTACTTTAGGTATTGAAATTACAAATCATGCAACTGCAACACTAGAAGGCAATCAGATTTTTAACAACCGGTTTGGAGGCTTATTTTTAGCATCTGGTGTTAATGTGACAATGAAAGGTATGTTGGGGCTTGTGTTCTGCTTATAAATAATATGCCATGAAAAAATCATCAGAAGCTGTTTATTAGATAACTTAAATTTCAGTTATTTTGAGGGAAACATGGTTTGTACTCACTCTATAGTTGGTAAATTTGCATCTTAAAATGTGCAAAGCATTTCAATTCTTAAGCTGATTTTTTATAATTACTTTGCGTCTTAAAATTAGCAACTCTTATTAATCTCTTTGCCTTCTATTTTTTTCTTTTTTTGTTACAGATAACAAAATAATGAACAATCAAGACGCCATAGAAAAGGCTGTTAGTAGAGGCCAATGTTTATATAAAATATCAAGTTACACCAGCTATCCCATGCATGATTTTTACAGGTATATTTCTAAATTATTTGAGTCCTGAAACAATGAAGTTAGGTTTTATTTTCTAAATTGGCATTGCCCACCCAGCATTTTTATAGATTCCCCTTAAATGTTGTAAGATAAAGCAGAGTAAATTGACCATACCTGAAAACTTTTTAATTGTCCAAAAAGGATCCTGTGTTTGATATGGAAAACTTCTTGTAAGTTGCAAAGCTGGCCAGTCAGTACTCCTAGGCATGTGGGTGACTTGACTCAACAGACTTGATAGGAACCGAACATTTTTAAATTGTTGGAACTGCCTTTCAGCAACTTACAAATCATTTCTCCCAGAAGACACAACCAAGACATTTTATTGAGGTCCCATTTCTCAAAAATTAGTCTGGACTGTACTGGCCACATATATCATATATTTTCCCATTTTATTCCTTTCCTACAACCCAAATGCATTCTTTTCAATTAACATGTTCAAGAAAAATAATGTAAGCTTTTGCTTTTTAGATGTCACACCTGTAACACCACAGATCGAAATGCCATATGTGTGAACTGCATTAAGAAGTGCCATCAGGGACATGATGTAGAATTTATTAGACATGATAGGTATGTAGCACACTTGATTCCTATGTTAAGCAATTCTTTTCCCCATCATTTTCCTAATTTTTGGGTTTTCATTTTGCTTTAGGTTTTTCTGTGACTGTGGTGCTGGAACACTGTCTAATCCTTGTACATTAGCTGGTGAGCCTACACATGATACAGATACACTATATGACTCTGCTCCACCTATAGAATCTAATACATTGCAGCACAACTGAATTCCTTCCCTAAAGAAAAAGTCCTGCCATTCTAACATCATAACTTAAAACTTTTTATTTGGAAGAAGATTTAAAATATTTGCCCATGCTACAGGAAGAGACTGTATTTAAAATGGATACACAAGGTCAGTTGACACTATGAAGCTCAAGCTACCAAAAAGAAAGTGGCAATATATTGACTCAGGATCTCAAAGCTGGGTGTTTTAGCATTACTGTGTAAAGACTTTTGAAGGGACAGAGTGAAGAAAGTAAGCTGCAATTTTGTACAGATACCAACTTCTGAAAAGCTGGTGTTTTTACAACTAGCATTGAATGCAGTCCAATTTGCAGTAGTAATCGTCAATAGACAAGCAGCTTTGTTGCTGCCTTTATGGACATGGGTACCAATTGCTTTTGTAATATGGTAAAATGTGAGCTAGCACTTCTGCGTTTCTTTTGATTTTTTTAAACATGTATTCAGATTGAAAAATATGATTTTAATGCTTTAATCTCATGTAGTTTGTTTTTAATTTCAAGCAAAATCTTATTGTACTTGAATGTGCCCTGTTTTGTTAGCACACCTAGACTTGCTGTAACTGTACTCATGTCCCAGTATGTACGTTCTTTCTATGAAAGAGAAAACACTAATCTTAAATTATATCCAGCAATGTTTCTGGTATCCTTTAAGAAAAGTTAATACTATTATTTCCTTCCCTTCCCTGTGCAACATTCAAAAACCACCCACCCCTAGAAAAAGTGAGTGTTTTATTGAGACTTCCTAGGAAGGGATGCACTGTAAAACAAAAGTATTCTTGTAACTCAGTTTTGTGAAAGATAAAAACTACTATGTTTTAAAGTACACTTTAGAAAGTCTCTTCAAAACAGTCCTGTATTTGAACTCTGTTCATAGTTTTTTTTTTGAACAGTTTAGACAAACTGCTGGAAATTAAAACAATTTCCTGCATTAACAAGTATATATATATATACAGCCCTATACAGTTTCATAGTCCCCCCCCCCATTTATGTGTATTGGTGACAGTGGGTATAAACAGCCTGAAAGTGTATGCATGTACCATAACATCTAGACTTAATATATTGTGGAGTATTCAATAACCATTATGTAGAAGGTAGATAAGAATTAAAAGGGTTTAATTTCCTAGAAAGAAAATGGAAAAATGGTCATTTTTAAAAAATAAAGTTTATTAGATCATAATGTTGTCTGAATTTACCACCTTCGTCAAAAGCCAATTCAAACCTTCCAATGTTGTCTATAATTCTTTAATCAAAGCCAACAACTTATGGACAGCTTCAGCTTCTATAGTCGACCTTTCACTAGCCAGGCAAACTTCCCTTTAAAATTTAGGGGGAGAAAAAAAAATTTTTTTTTTTTTTTTAGTTTAGATTTTTCCACTGTGCATTTTTTAAGCAACTATATAGTAAAATGATATTCAGTTATAATTACCGAAATAATCGCAGTGACTTCATCATCTTCTCGAATTCTCTTGATTTTCTGTGTCCCTTTTGAATAACCTCCTCTGGGAGATTAGCAAGTCTTGCTGCCTTGAAGCCGTAGCTTTTAGGACAAGCTCCCTTAATGAATTTGTAGAGGAAGGTAATGGTCTCCTGGCTAGGATCTTCACATTCATTTTCTACCATGCATGCCTTTAAAAAGGAAAAATATTTTTTGAGTTAACATCAATTGTTAGTGACCCTGTATAGCATTTACGAGCAGTTCAGCATATTAACCCACCATCAATAGAAGTACCCAAATTAATTTGTATAAGTTTGTACACACCATGTGTCCTAGACGTACGGCAACATTTTGAGAATAATCTTCCACTAACGAATGGTAGTGGGTAGAAAACAATGTACGGCACTTTATATTCTCAGCAAGTTCCTTAACAACTGCATTTGCTATTGCTGTACCATCAAATGTTGCAGTACCTCTTCCTGTAAAGGTAAAACATGTTATTAAAGTTTAGCCGTCTTAGCAACCCGAAGGTCAGATTTCCGACCTTGTGGTTCAAGCCAACCTTGCAGACAGTCCAGTGCTTATCTTACAGCAAGCACTACACCAGGAACTAACATTTAAATTGTATATGAATTATTTCATAGCAGCCTTACATAGCGTTTCTGTGGCTATAAAAACCTTTTTACTGGAGCAGAAAAAGCAACTGGTGGATTTGAACCGCTGACCCATTGGCGAATAGCCCAATGTGTAACCCCCACTTTCAACGAAAGGACTGCTAAAATTACTCTCCAAAAATTTAGTTACATTTGGCAGCTAACTGAAAGGTCCGTGGTTCAAAGCCAGCAGTGACACCGCTACAGGATGTAGTACCGTCTGTGTCCATTGAAATTACAGCCTTAGAAACCTTATGGGGCAGTTCTGTTCTACAGGGTTAGTTGATGTGACTTGAGCATGGTTTTTGTTGTTTTTTTTTTTTTTTTAAAAAAAAAGCAAAACAGTGATGGTTCAGTGGTAAAAATCCATGCCGGAGACCTGAGTCCAATTCCCAATTAATGGACCTCCCTCAAGAATAGCCACTGCTTGTTTCTTTGCCTCTACAGCTTTCAACAAAGATTCCAAACTAACACAGCCATTGACAACCCAATGCATAGGATTATCAGGAGTTACTTACAAGCTGTTGTTAAATGCCATCAAGTTGGTTCTGACTCATAGCAACCCAGTTTCCGAGTGGCTGGTGAGCTTGAACTGCCGACCTTGCAGTCTAGCACATTAAACTCCAACGCCACACCAGGACTCTACCACATTAGCACCCCTGAATTCTTAAACTCACTTCTAAAACTAAAGCAGCTAGACTTTCATCCCCAAGTAATGGTGAGTTGCATGCTCGTTTTAGGGGAAATTTCCTTTTTTTAATGTCTCCTTCAGGCAATCTTCAAAAAAAAAAAATTTTGTGCAGTAATGTTTTTAACATAGGCTTCAAACAAAAATAGTAATGCCTTACCTAATTCATCCACAAGCACTAAAGAATGTGCTGTTGCATGTGTAAGTATGCTGGCAGTTTCACTCAACTCAACAAAAAATGTACTTTCACCTTAAAAAAAAAAAAAAATCACAAATGGATACTCATTTTAAGAACCATAGAACATCTTTCATATTTTAATCAGTTGGTACTGTAGATTATGTAAGTTTCTCAATAAGAAAGTTATGTAATTCTTAGACTACTGAAAATGATGTTTTATTGCAGTTAGCTCTGCGTTAACACCAGAAATTCAAGACTCAGAAATTAATCTTGGAGGAGGGAGGAAACTCACCTGACATTATTCTATCTGAGGCACCAAGTCTAGTAAACACTCTATCAATCGGTGTAAGCCTACACACTTCAGCAGGTACATAGCAACCCATCTGAGCCATTACAGCTAATAGGCCAGCCTGTGAGGGAGGGAGGAAAACCTTTTTATGACTAGTATGAAATGAACCTATTTAAAAAAAAAAAATTTACCAAACACAGAGACAGTAAGCCAAACTTACAAATGTCTGTTTTCCTTAAGAACACTTATGCAGGAGCCAGGCAGTCAAAAATCTTTAGTAGTAGAGAGGCTTAGAGGAGGTTAAGAGGCTGAAGACTTAATCTTAAAACCTGCATATATAACCACATTTACACTAGTGATTCTGAACCGTGATTTACCTGAGAGAACTCATGGCACCTAACAAAAAAAAGAATCAATTATCATGTTCCATTTCTCCAGGTGGTTCTCTTATTAAAGAAAACCAGTGCACTACACTTACACTGCCTCTCTCATTAGAAATTTGGTGAACAGGAATACAATATAGGTAAGTCAGCTGATTTTGGCCAGTATCTATTTATTACATTTATAAAAAAGGACCATTTCATCCCTAGAAACAGTTTCCAAATAAGTCCCTACTAGAGATCCTGAATTGTATCTGAATAAGTCTGGCATGGGTATTTCATAAGAAAGGTTCCTACAATGAGACTACAGAATCACTGCTTCCCCACAAACAGACCATCAAATTGGCTCAAGTCAGTTTCCTTGAATAGGGTTTCTAAGGAGCAGCTGGTTGGTCTGAACGGATGGCCTTGCAGTTATCTATAGCACCACATTGTTAAGTGCTGTTGAGTTGATTCCAACCCACAGGCACCTTGTATAGGGTGGTTTCAAGGAGCAGCTAGTGAGCTTGAACCACCGACTTTGCAGATTGAGGCATTAGCCCACTGCACCACACTAGGACTCCTCCACTGGTGGTGGTGGCTGTGTGCCGTGGAGTCGGTTCAGACTCTTAACGACCCTGTCCAGGGTTTCCAAGACTGTAAATCTTTACAGGAGCACAAAGTCTCATCCTTCTCCCGCAGAGCAGCTGATGGTAGTTTCGAACGGCTGACCTTGCGGTTCACAGCCTGATTCATAACCACTACGCTACCAGAGCTCCTTTCCACCACATTTGCACCTCTGAATTCTTAAATTCACTTCTAAAACTAAAGGTCATTTTTGCCCAAACTCTGAAAAGTTACACTGAATTAAAAACTAGATTGTAGCCCCTATCTAATTCTACCCTGCCCGTGGTTTCAATCTCCATATTTTCATTATTGTTATTTCCCATCTCTTCATTATTTTACAGTATTCTTTTATATCTATATTTTCTCTCCAGTAAGTGTGCCTTCTTCATGAGCCACCTATATGTAATATCTGCACATTACTTTCCATTCAGCCTCCTGGGGATTTGAATCCAATCAAATCAAATAACTTAAGAGATCCTATAACTCCTCTCTTTTTTCACATATTACTCCTAACATTAGGCAGAAATCCCTGGGTTGTGAAAACGGTCAACTACTAGCCAAAAAGTTGGCAGGTTCAATCCACCTTGGAAGACAGGCTTAGCATCTACAGCCTTGGAAACCATACGGTGCACAATTCTACTCTGCATAGGTGGGGTCACTTAAGTCAAACCAATAGTATTATGCAGATAGCTGACTTACAAAGAAAACTGTCCATTTTGTAATCAGTTCCTTCTTAGTAATTATCTAACTCATGCCATTTGGAAAAGGATGGCCTAAATATGCAACCTATTCCTTCCTGAAGTGTTACAAACGATCTGATAACAAAACTTTAAGAATTAGCTTACCTGTCTCATGAGTGTAGATTTGCCCCCCATATTTGGTCCAGTAACAAGTACACAGTCAGCTTTACCATTTTCCGCCTCTTCATCACAGCCTATTAGGATGTCATTAGGAATAAAGTCATCTCCAAAAAAAGTCTTTGTAATGCAGGGATGGCGTGATCCTTTAAGCTCTAAGAATGGAGGAGTGTCATCTTCTGGCAAGATAATTACTGGACGACACATAGGACCATCACCACCTCGACTATAATTAGCCAGACACAACAAGACATCTGTAAAGAGTAAAAGTTTTCATCATTTTGGAGTTTTTTGGTTAGCAAACTAGCATACACATTCAACAGCACAAAATCCCAACTTCTATAATGTCTTCCAAAATGCATTTCACTCGTGGTATAGTCTACTTGCTGCTATTATAGACACAGCAGTGTTTTTCTAAAGGCTGGCATTCTAGTTGCCATCTAATTATACAAGAATATATAAAATGATTCATCTGCCTAAGTATTTTATATGTCTTCATTTCAACACTTGTAATAAAATGAGAAATGACTCAATTTTGGCCCAAGGATCTCTAACATCTAGAGAAGAATGCCAAGGGTAAAAGGTAAAAGCACAGATGTGCAATTTGTTCAGCAAATGTGCTAACTGACCTCTTACCTTGATCTAATTTTAACATTATAATACTCCATGGGGGAAGCAGAACCTCCTGATATTAAAACAACCTTGAGAAGAAAATTAATTGACCAATTTTGAACATTTCTGTTGAGAAAGGATTTTACAAACCATATTTTTCCCAAATCAGCCTAAGGTAAAGACAGTATAGCTATTCTATTCTGGATAGCTGTGATCAGATGAAAGTAGAAAGTTAAAACAATTTAAGAAAACTGTTTGCTATGGAGTCCTGATAGCACTGGACTTGCTAACCACAAGGTTGGAGGGTCAAACCTACCAGCTGCTCCTCAGAAGGTTGCTGAGTCATAAACAACTCAATGGCACTTAACAACATGGTGGCTACATTTTTTTTTTAAAGCTTAAACTCTCAAAGAGTTTAAAAAGCTCCAAGTAAATTGACCATAATGATATAAAAAAAAAAAAGTATTAATAATTAGCAC